GCGCTGGAAGCCTATAAGAAGCCATTGAAGTGGCCTTTTAGGGGTTTGAGGGGTTTGGAGGGTTTTAGGCCTGGCAAACGGCAAGCTTGGACGCCCAGAAAAAGCCATGGATGTGGGCGCTGGAAGCCTATAAGAAGCCATTGAAGTGGCCTTGTAGGGGTTTGAGGGGTTTGGAGGGTTTGGAGGGTTTTAGGCCTGGCAAACGGCAAGCTTGGACGCCCAGAAAAAGCCATGGATGTGGGCTTTTGCCTGCGCTGGAAGCCCATAAGAAGCCATGGAAGTGCCTTTGAGGGGTTTTAGGCCATGGGTGTGGGCTTTTGCCTGCGCTGGAAGCCCAGAAGAAGCCATTGAAGTGGCCTTGTAGGGGTTTTAGGGGTTTTAGGGGTTTGGAGGGTTTGGAGGGTTTTAGGCCTGGCAAACGGCAAGCTTGGACGCCCATAAAAAGCCATGGATGTGGGCGCTGGAAGCCTATAAGAAGCCATTGAAGTGGCCTTTTAGGGGTTTTAGGGGTTTGGAGGGTTTGGAGGGTTTTAGGCCTGGCAAACGGCAAGCTTGGACGCCCAGAAAAAGCCATAGATGTGGGCTTTTGCCTGCGATGGAAGCCCAGAAGAAGCCAGTGAAGTGGCCTTTTAAGGGTTTTAGGGGTTTGGAGGGTTTGGAGGGTTTTAGGCCTGGCAAACGGCAAGCTTGGACGCCCATAAGAAGCCATGGATGTGGGCGCTGGAAGCCTATAAGAAGCCATTGAAGTGGCCTTTTAGGGGTTTTAGGGGTTTGGAGGGTTTGGAGGGTTTGGAGCGTTTGAGGCCTGGCAAACGGCAAGCTTGGACGCCCAGAAAAAGCCATGGATGTGGGCTTTTGCCTGCGCTGGAAGCCCATAAGAAGCCATTGAAGTGGCTTTTTAGGGGTTTGGAGGGTTCTAGGCCTGGCAAACGGCAAGCTTGGACGCCCATAAAAAGCTGGCTGATGGCCTTGGGATGCCTTGTTGTAAGGAAGAAATTCACCACACTGCGGTGGTGGTCCCAGGCGCCGCCATGCCGTGGCGGAAGGCCGGGGTCGGCGGATATATTCATGAGTATTGGCAGTGAAATGGAGAAATGTTTGAATGTTTCAATCGGTGTGCATAGCAAAGGGAGGTTTTGCTGATGGATTCAAGGACCGGGACATTTTGGAGCCAGATCTCAATAACAGCAACCTCAGCAATCTGGAGTTTGGCAGTGGAGATGATGGACAAAGCCGAGAACATGTCCGCAATGGCAAATATGACGGAGTGGAACGGTTCTTTGCTGAACATGGAGACTGAAGAAAGTGGAGAAAGTGGAGAAAGTGGAGAAAGTGGAGAAAGTGGAGAAAGTGGCAATGACACGATGAATGAGATTGACAATGAATCATATGAATCCTCAATGCATGGCCATGGCGCCGATGCCGGAACGGGCAACATGGGCTTTGGAGCACTTGGATCAGTATGACAACGAGTCTGTCAATGACTCTGAGAACGACCCTGCCAAGTGTCACCGGCAAGTTTTCATTCCAAAGGCAAAGAACATCTTCAAACTGAACTGATTGTTCCAGCCATAGAATGAGTCCTGTTATAGCATGTCATGATATGGCATTTCTGTTACTCATGTTTCTTGATGATAGAGTCTTTTCCATGTCCTTCTGAGTGTAGTGAGCAGCTTTGCTGGTCCTTGGTGCTGATTGTCTGATTGTAGAATGTCATTCCGAGAGGCTAAGTCGGCTAAGTTCACCCATTCGAAGTGGGAAGTGGGGTCTGGCAAGTAGTGGCTGCAGTAGGGTGTTCGAATCTCGGAGTGTGGGTGAGGGACAGGGGTGGCGTGGGACTGTCCGATTCCTTGTCCTGTGCTGTGGAGGCAGTCTTTCTGGTTGTTGTTTGTGTGTTTGTTCCACGGAAATTCCAGGTGTGATGTCTATTAGACTATAATTCATGACGCCTCTTCCCAATTCTTCATGTCCTGACAAATGTCATGACGGATTGTCATGTTGGTCCGACATACCAAGAGTGTTGTTGCATCTGTGAAACCCAGATTTAAGCCAGATGCCATGCATGCCTCTGGTGAATTCTTCTTTCGTTGCTAGAGTTATGAGTCCAACAACACAGAGAATATAGGGTTTGACAAAAAAAATAAAAAAAAACAAAACCAGAGCAAACAAAAACAACAAACTAGAAAACCAAAACCAAGGAAAAAACAAGAAAAAACATAAAACAAAGACAAAGAAAAAAATCAAAAACTGCGGAAAATGCAGGTTTTGTTTTTTTTGTTTTTTTTTTGTTTGTTTTTCTTGTTTTTTTTGTTTCTTCTGGTGATTCTTCCTGTCGATTTTTTTTTTGGTGATTCTGTTTTTGTTTTTGTTTTTTATATTTTTTGCTTAAATCCACTTTCTCTGTTCTACACGGGGTCATAATGCTAGTGATACTAGGGACCCATTGCAAAGATTGCTGATTTGTTTTTCCGTTGGGGTCACGGAAGTACCCTAGGGATTTCAAGAAAAGTGCCGGTGCGGCAGCGCGGCGCCGACAAACGCTTTTGACACTCTTGCAGCGACAGACGACAGACCGGCGCATTTAGAGCATTCGCACAAGGACGCAAGTGTCTGGAACAACCGATTGGTGGCCTAATTAGTTCTTCACTGGATGTTAACATCCAAAGGAATCCAAAGTATCTTTGACACAATGCACTCCTGCATCCCTGCAATGCTTGAATTTTGGCACCAGGAAGCAGTCAGCGTCCCAACAAAATGAAAAAAACATGGTCAGATTCCTACATGTGATGAATGGACCATTGTTTGACCTATACTTTCAAATCCACAACCAGGTACGTAGACCCCACCATATGAGCACAGCCAGAATTACCACATGAACAGGTCATTAGAGCCCACGGCTACCCAAAGATTCCAGTAATTTCCAGAACATCCTCGTGCTTTTCAGTGAGCCAACGCTTGTCGAGATGAGAGCTTGATGCCATCTGCCACTTGTTTGAATTGAGGACCTTGGGAGTGTATCTTTGGGGAGCTGATGACTTGAACATGTTGGATTGACAGATTGACCATGTTGAAATCTCCTTGGATTTAAATGATTTGGCGTTTCAAACTGATGTCAAAGGCCTGAGATGAAAGGCTTAGCATCCATTTGTGACACTTGCTGTTGGTTGCTGATCTAATTTTCGGGGTCAAGCTGCCCATTGACCCGTGTTGAGTGCTTCAGACATTTTTCATGACATAGAAGACGATCATGTTCACCACGCACCTGTTCATCACCATCGCCAATGCTGCTCAATTATAGCTCACAGTTTCTCTGCTTCGAGCATCGCATTCCTCATTCTCATTCCATAGATACATAGTCTGTACCGCACCGCTTGCGCAATGGGCTTGTCGCGATACATCGAATGTTTGGTTCTTACTTGCCTCGGATGGGCTCCTTTCCTTGCTGTGGTGAACTACAAGCCAGATCCGATGACAGATCTTTATGCCTGCACCAAGCCATGCCACAACATTCATTATTTAGGACCGAAACAGTGCCCGAAACCACTGCAGCAAAATTACAACTCAAAAACTCAAGTTTTCCGTCTTGGGACTTCCCAGCCTTTATATCTGTTGAGAATGGTGGCAACTTCTCGGCTCTACATCCCCAAGGCACTTGGTGGGGGCTCATGCAAACCTATCCGCCTATCCTCGATTCGATTTGGTCAGCATCTGATACCAAAGAGTTTCCCAACCCGGCCCACGTCAACGAGCTTGTGTGCGAAACAGACAACGTCCGGAAGCAGATTGAGGATAATCGGGACAAGGGCTGTGCCATTACTGTCTACCTTTTTGTCCTCGTCATGTGGACTCTGATGAAACTTGCCCATGATTGGGCTTTGCTGGCAGATGTAGCAGAAGACTTTACACTAGTGATCGGGGTGCTTTCATGGGCTTTTCAGTTGCTGGCATCCGATGCAGCCTTATACTGGGCAGCTGCTGTGACCCACGTCTTTGTCTCCAGGGTGCCTGAAGGTAATGGTGCTTGCTATTACCAACTGCAGCCTTTCGCAACTTTGACAGCCTTGGGTGCGGCGCTTTTGCTGCTATACTTTAGTCATGTGAAGATGAACAACTTGGTCCTATCCCTTGTGAACTACTATTGCAAAATATTCAGCGTGCCATACGGGGCAGTTAAGGGCATAGCTGCGTCGCAGCCTTTGCTGACCAAAGGATTGCATGGAGATTCCGATGTTCTACCTGCACCTGCACCACATCAGCAGCTTGAATTTCGAAACCGGAAGCGGCTGTGCATTTTCGCCAGAAGTCTTTATTGGTTTTGTTTGTTGTCGTATGGGCGGCGAACTGTTCCGTTCGACTTCTTTGGGAACCTATTCCTGCGAGTGACAGAACTGGCTGTCAGCCAAGCTTGGTCTTTGGCCCCCGTGGTGTTCCTCAAACTTGCCACTCTGCTGGCAGCTGCTGCGACTCCGGTCATTGGTGGCGCTTTGGCAGCTTCTGTGCTCGTTACTGTGATACAGGAGGCTCTTTCAGACTGGCGCAGTCTTCGGGCCATTGACAAGCTCACAGTATCTGCTCAACTTCTCCTGTCTACTGCATTGCTTCTGTTGGCGTTGAGCACCTCTGGTGGGGCCTGGAACATAACTCAGGCAGTTGTTTTTCATCGAGGAGCTGATGGCTTGCAGCAGCATTGGGAATGGTACCATCATGGCAAAGCAATCATGTACTATGTTTTTTTCTTGCATTCGGTATGGTAGCCGATGAGTATGATCGCTGAAATGGCGGCATGACAGGCAGCAATGGTGGGCATGGTGCCTGTACAGTTCCAAAGCAAAGTGCAACAATTTGGAAAGTATCATTCCACATGTCCCTCACGTTTGACTTTCATATGGACCAGACGCACTGCGTGTGTGGAAAACTGTGTGCCTGAGGAAGAAAAGGTTCTGATCCAAACCTGGTGTTTGAGTAAGTTTGGGATGTAGCGAGAGATGCGACTCGTTTTAACGACTGACTAAGTATTTTTTCAGCAGATGTGAATTGACTCCAGTCAGCTTCAACCGAATGTTGCTGCCTCTATCATCCTCTATCTGTAACAGGCCTGCACACATCCACATAGAGTCATAGAGTCTCTATGTATATACAGGGTGCTATATACTTTTTCTTTCCCAACAATCCAGATTCAGAGTGTTTCAAACAGACAGTCTTTTGAAAGGAACTTAGGTGTTAGGATGAAAGAGGCAAAGGGTGGACTTGCAGAGTTTTTGGATGACACAATTCAGCTATCTACCATAGTTTTATTGATTTTATTGGAAGCAGATACCAAATTTGAGCGTTTCACATTGTTCACCAAGTTCCTCTCGGTGCCTTCCAATATTTTCCAAGGTGTTCAGTGGACATTGCCCAGCTGTATCCTGAGCAGACAGAATGAGAGTGGTTAGCTCAGAGATCGCTGCTGTCACAACATCAAGCACGTTGCCGGACCAGCTCGTCGCCCCAGAAATTGCCATAAACCATACCTGCGTTTGTCATGCCATTTATATTCCGGCGTACTGTTCCAAAATGTCATCCAAGTTCTTATTCAGAACTTCGGACTTCATCATTTCTGCTTCAGAGAGGTTTTGCTCTTTGGATTGTTAGCTGAGGTGCAAGAGATTTGCCCCGATGTCCATTCACCCTATTGTTGCCGTGCTTTGCTGTGCTTTCAGTCGGATCCCAAGCTATTTGTGGACTCACACCAGTCAAATCTTTAACCAACAAACCACCAAGTATGCTACGAAATAATTGGCCACAAAATGATCTTAAAGAATGATGGCAAGATATTCATATATATTCATGAGTATTGGCAGTGAAATGGAGAAATGTTTAAATGTCTCAACCGGTGTGCATAGCAAAGGGAGGTTTTGCTGATGATTCAAGGACCGGGACATTTTGGAGCCAGATCTCAATAACAGCAACCTCAGCAATGGAACCTGGAGTTTGGCAGTGGAGATGATGGACAAAGCCGAGAACATGTCCGCAATGGCAAATATGATGGAGTGGAACGGTTCTTTGCTGAACATGGAGACTGAAGAAAGTGGAGAAAGTGGAGAAAGTGGAGAAAGTGGAGAAAGTGGAGAAAGTGGCAACGACACGATGAATGACACTGACAATAAGTCGTCAATGCATGGCCATGGCGCTGATGCCCGAACGGGCAACATGGCTTTGGAGCACTTGGATCAGTATGACAACGAGTCTGTCAATGACTCTGAGAACGACCCTGCCAAGTGTCACCGGCAAGTTTTCATTCCAAAGGCAAAGAACATCTTCAAACTGATTGTTCCAGCCATAGAATGAGTCCTGTTATAGCATGTCATGATATGGCATTTCTGTTACTCATGTTTCTTGATGATAGAGTCTTTTCCATGTCCTTCTGAGTGTAGTGAACAGCTTTGCTGGTCCTTGGTGCTGATTGTCTGATTGTAGAATGTCATTCCGAGAGGCTAAGTCGGCTAAGTTCACCCATTCGAAGTGGGAAGTGGGGTCTGGCAAGTAGTGGCTGCAGTAGGGTGTTCGAATCTCGGAGTGTGGGTGAGGGACAGGGGTGGCGTGGGACTGTCCGATTCCTTGTCCTGTGCTGTGGAGGCAGTCTTTCTGGTTGTTGTTTGTGTGTTTGTTCAACCGAAATTTCTTTGGAACTAAGGCTGGCTTTACTTTCCTTCCTTCCCAGGTGTGATGTCTATTAGACTATAATTCATGACGCCTCTTCCCAATTCTTCATGTCCTGACAAATGTCATGACGGATTGTCATGTTGGTCCGACATACCAAGAGTGTTGTTGCATCTGTGAAACCCAGATTTAAGCCAGATGCCATGCATGCCACTGGTGAATTATTCTTTCGTTGCTAGAGTTATGAGTCCAACAACACACAGAATATAGGGTTTGACAAAAAAAAATTAAAAAAAAACAAAACCAGAGCAAACAAAAAAAACAAACTAGAAAACCAAAACCAAGGAAAAAACAAGAAAAAAAACAAAAAAAAACAAGAAACAACATAAAACAAAGACAAAAAAAACAAAAACTGCGGAAAATGCAGTTTTATTTATTTATTTATTTTTTGTTTTTTTCTTGTTTTTTTTTGTTTCTTCTGGTGTTTCTTCCTGTCGATTTGTTTTTTTGGTGATTCTGTTTTTGTTTTTGTTTTTTTTATTTTTTTGCTGAAATCCACTTTCTCTGTTCTACACGGGGTCATAATGCTAGAGATACTAGGGACCCATTGCAAAGATTGCTGATTTGTCTTTCCGTTGGGGTCACGGAAGCACCCTAGGGATTTCAAGAAAAGTGCCGGTGCGGCAGCGCGGCGCCGACAAACGCTTTTGACACTCTTGCAGCGACAGACGACAGACCGGCGCATTTAGAGCATTCGCACAAGGACGCAAGTGTCTGGAACAACCGATTGGTGGCCTAATTAGTTCTTCACTGGATGTTAACATCCAAAGGAATCCAAAGTATCTTTGACACAATGCACTCCTGCATCCCTGCAATGCTTGAATTTTGGCACCAGGAAGCAGTCAGCGTCCCAACAAAATGAAAAAAACATGGTCAGATTCCTACATGTGATGAATGGACCATTGTTTGACCTATACTTTCAAATCCACAACCAGGTACGTAGACCCCACCATATGAGCACAGCCAGAATTACCACATGAACAGGTCATTATAGAGCCCACGGCTACCCAAAGATTCCAGTAATTTCCAGAACATCCTCGTGCTTTTCAGTGAGCCAACGCTTGTCGAGATGAAGAGCTTGATGCCATCTGCCACTTGTTTGAATTGAGGACCTTGGGAGTGTATCTTTGGGGAGCTGATGACTTGAACATGTTGGATTGACAGATTGACCATGTTGAAATCTTCTTGGATTTAAATGATTTGGCGTTTCAAGCTGATGTCAAAGGCCTGAGATGAAAGGCTTAGCATCCATTTGTGACACTTGCTGTTGGTTGCTGATCTAATTTTCGGGGTCAAGCTGCCCATTGACCCGTGTTGAGTGCTTCAGACATTTTTCATGACATAGAAGACGATCATGTTCACCACGCACCTGTTCATCACCATCGCCAATGCTGCTCAATTATAGCTCACAGTTTCTCTGCTTCGAGCATCGCATTCCTCATTCTCATTCCATAGATACATAGTCTGTACCGCACCGCTTGCGCAATGGGCTTGTCGCGATACATCGAATGTTTGGTTCTTACTTGCCTCGGATGGGCTCCTTTCCTTGCTGTGGTGAACTACAAGCCAGATCCGATGACAGATCTTTATGCCTGCACCAAGCCATGCCACAACATTCATTATTTTAGGACCGAAACAGTGCCCGAAACCATTGCAAACTTGCAGCTCAACCCAAGGTTTTTGCCCTGCGTCCCAATCTTTGTAGCTGTTGAGAATGGTCGCAACTTTTCGGCTGTACGTCCCCAAATCACTTGGCGGGGGTTCCTGGAAGCCTATCACCCTGTCCTCGGTTGGATCTGGGAAGCATCTGATACCAAAGAGTTTCCCAACCCGGCGCACGTCAACGAGCTTGTGTGCGAAACAGACAACGTCCGGAAGCAGATTGAGAATCATCCGACCGAGGGCTACACCATTACCGTCTATCTTTTTGCACTCGTCATGTGGACTCTGATGAAACTTGCCCATGACTGGGCTTTGCTGGCAGGTGTAGCAGAAGACTTTACACTACTGATCGGTGTGCTTTCATGGGTGTTTCAATTACTTGCATCCTGCGCAGCCTTTTCCTGGGCAGCTGCTGTGACCGACGTCTATGTCTCCAGGGTGCCTGAGCGGAACGGCGCTTGCTATTACCAACTGGTGCCTGTCGCAACTTTGACAGCCTTGGGTGCTGCGCTTTTGCTGCTATACCTTACTCATGTGAAGATGAACAACTTGGTCTTATCCTTGGCACACGGCGACTATCTACATTGCAAAATATCCAATGTGCCATATCGCGCAGCTCAGGGTACAGCTGCGTCACACCTGTTGCTGGCAAAAGGAGTGCGTGAAGATTCCGATGTTCTACCTCTACCTGCGTCACATCAGCAGCTTCCGTTTCGAAACCGGAAACGGTTGGCCACCTTCGTCAGGAGTTTGTTCCATGTCTATTGGTTCCTTTTGTTTGGATTCATTATCCCACTCGCCTCTGGCAACATCTTCCATCGCGTGACAGAAATGGCTGTTAGCCATGAGTGGTCTTTGGGCCCAATGGTTTTCGCTAAACTTGCCACCCTCACAGCTGCTTCCACTCCAGTCATTGGCAGCGTTTCGGCAGCCTGGATGTTCTTTACCGTGATACAGGAGGTCTTTACAGAGTGGAACAGTCTTCGGGCTATTGAAAAGATCAGTTTGTCTTCTCAACTTATCCTTTTCATCGCAATGTTCATGTTGGCTTTGATCATGCTTGGTGGGGCCTGGAACATAGTTCAGGCTGTTATTTTTCATCCAGTAGCTGATGGATTGCAGCAGCACTGGGAATGGTACCTTCACGGTAAGGCGACAATGATTTTGGGTTGTTTCGCATTCGCTTTTGCAGTCGATGAGCCTTTGGAGCGCTTATTGTCACGGGTTTTTTGATCATTGCAGCGAGCTAAAAGTTCTTTTGGAGGGCCGCCTTGTCACCCCTACTCATGTGTACATAGTTCCGGAGTGTGATGTTCAGCTACTTGAAATTCTGGGAGGTGATTCTCTGCATCGCTCAGGAACGGAAAAAACACCGCGTGGCTCTTGCAGGCTCTTCCTGCAGCATCTTGCAGCATCTTTGAGCCTTATTATAGTGGCTTTCGAGGTGTTTGTTTGGTCACCGTCTACTCTTGGAGCTTTGGTTTGATGAAACTTGTGGAGGTTTATGTCCTTACAGCTTGAACCTGTCAAGCTCCGAGGCATCAACAGTTGCTATTGCACAGACCTTAGATGCCCAGACCTCCCAGGAAGAGCAGTGCAAGCAGTGCAAGCAGTTCATCGTGGACACTTGACATCAATCATAAACGAATTGTAGAGCTTCGCACACCGGCGATGCCCTTCGGGTTGGAGGCGTTCGTGGCTGTCAAGCTGAGGAGTTTGTGTTGGCAGCACAGGTTTGAACAGGGTTGGTATTGTAGGGAAGCTGAGGACCCAGAGCAGCAGAGATAGGCCGAAAGTGTGATCAAGTTCCTGGAGAAGGGCGCGGGTAGCGCAAAAGAGGAAGGCAGATAGCAAACATGCGTGTGGTGAGGCGTTCGCTTGTGCCGCTTCTTTTTGCCCTCGGTGCACACTCCAGTGTTGAGCAAGGATGTTTATGGATAGAGTCACATGCAGAGAAAGCTGTAAAAGACACATGGCAGTGAGTGGAAAGGTTAGGCATGGCAAGAGGGGCTAGTCCGCGATGGCAAAAGACAGACATATGTAGCCCTGCAAGTCCGAAGGTCAAGTTTGACGATGCCTTTGGCTAAAGACCAAGTCTTACAAGGACTTTTGGTTTACCTCGGTTTGATGGAGCTCAGCCCTTTCTCCCCTCACGTTCATCGTCGCCAAGCTTTTTTCCACATTTGTCCTCCATTGCGCCCACAGTTTCATGGTATTAGAGCCACAAATGACGACCGAAGACTGTATCGTTGACCTTTCCCAAGTCTGGTACTATGGATATCATAGATAATTATAAGTGTGCCAAACATGTGAAAAAAGTGCGATTTGAAAATGCGATGTGCCAAAAAAAGCAACTTGAAAAATGTGATGTTTGTTCAGATTGTTTTTTATTTGCGATTTTCCTTCAAGTCATTTTTTTTGCGATTTTTGCTTGTGTCGCTTTTTTTTGCGATGTTTGCTCATTTTTTTTTGCAAGTTTTGTTCACGCGATTATTGTTCAAATGGCATTTTTTTTTGCGATTTTCGTTCGCGTCGCTTTTTTTGGCAAGTTTTGTTCACGTCGCTTTATTTTGTGGTTTTTGTTCAAATCGCTTTTTTTTATTTGCGATGATCGTTCCAACCGCATTTTTCGTGCATTAGTTTTGGAAAGTTCGGCGACGTCAATCTCCCAACGCATTTCTGCAAGTCGCAAATCGGATTTTTCAACATCAATTTTCAATTGCGCAATTGCAAAAAAAGCGATTTTGCAGGACATCACTTTTTTTTTAAATAGATTTTTGTTCCCAGCGCATTTTCTGCGCCTTTTGTTTGGTGGGTACACGGTACACGTGTCAAACGCAATTTTGTTGCATTTCTTTCGATGCGGCCACGCGTCAATCGCATTTTCCCAAGTTTTGGAATAAGTCTTTCGTGTTTTTCCATACATGTTGCCCCTTGTTGCATGCAGGCCACGCGCCGTGGTGCAAAAGACAATGTTGTTGCAAAGAACGCTGCAAAACGTGTTCTTCCGGACGCAGGTTCATGGCCTGAAGGAAAGGTGTCGCGATATTCACACATCCTGTGTGCGGTTGTACAATGAGGTCTTGATGCAAGCACTGTGTTCCAGCGCATTCAAAGAGATGCCCTTGACAAGTGGCGCAAGGGAAAGTGATCTCTGCAGGTAGAGGAAAGGTGCTACACGTAGAGGACAGCTAGAATCAAGAAAAATGCAAACATTTGGACATGCACTTTTGAAGTGGAAACTAATTCATCGCCGCCTCATAGAGCGTACCTGAGTTAGGAAAGGTCAACTGTATTGGTTCAATGCTGAATTTGATTTGAACCCCATTTGAAACTGTTGATGCATGAGTGGAATTGGAAGCACAATTTTTTTCAATCGCCTTCAGATCACCGAATGGGCCTTTCCAATTTGACCCGGAGCTTTTGCAAAGCTTGGTGCAGACCGGAGTGATTCCACAATTCATCAGCAACAAGCTCAGCGACGTGACAGAGGCTGATGATGACAACAAGGCAGAGGTCCGGCGTGAAGTCATTGACTTTATCCGGAAGATGATCGCGGGGACATTCGCGATAAGATCCTATGACTACTTTCGAGTTAACCCTCCACAACGTGACGACCATCTTCACGTCGATCCAGTATGACTTGCTTGCGCTGTGACTGAGAGAACGAGGACGTTTGCTGTCATGGTAACCCTCAACAAGGTCGGCATAGGGCTACCAGCTGGACTTGAGAAAGCCTGGGAGAGCAAGCTGAGGTCATCTCGACAAAGTGACGCTCAGCTGGAGAGCAACATCCGACTGATGGATCCAGCTGACCGCGTCAACATCCGCACCTATGTGAGAGCGATCACCAACGTTCCTGGAGACGCGAGCCAAGAAGGTGGTGCGGCGGCGAGCAGCAAGGAGACGAGCAAGCGGCGCCGCAAATGAAGACTATGTCAATGTGGAGCGCTACTGAGAGTGGCATGAGAGCCGGGCTAATTCCACTCACGTCCAACGATCTCTGAGCAGGGCAGATTTCTTTCTTTTGATATGAGCTGAGGTAGGCAACTTCAGACGTGCAAGTCCTGAATATTTCTTAGCTAACGTTGTGCAAAGACCACGCACGAACCGATGTAGGCCTAACCGGCTGCATTGGGGAATGGTACGGTGGATGGTGGTAACTCAACGGCGAAGTGATGTAGGCCCGACGGGCTGCATCATGGAACCTGCGAGGAACCTCGTCACTTGTACAATAGTGGCGACTGAAATAGTTCTGTGTCTCACCCGTGAACGCCAGACTTTTGAGAGGACTTGCACCGCACAGCATTAATTCGAGCGGTAGTTAACTTTTGAATCCTGACGCTTGCTCCTGTGCCTAGCACTTGAAAATGAGCTAGGCATGGGGTGTACGAATGGAATGCATGTCAGGAACCACAACTAATTCAGCATACATGCCAGCTGCAGGAACCACATCATCTGTGTCCTGCTGCCCTGGCTCAAGGCTCAAGTGGTTTAAGACGCACCGCTCTGCACAGATGAAAAAGGTGTGAGTTCGTCAGTGTTGCTTGGCGACTGGAAACTTCGAGACCCAGAATAATATTCACACGATCAGACTGGTAACAGAAACCATTCACATTAGATATGTGTGCTTTTGGCATGAGACCCAAATGGATATTAATACTACAAGCCAACATCTTTACCTCACAACTTTCCAGATGGCACCTTGAATCCATTCATTGTTCAAGCGATGTAGTGATAAATCCAAGAAAGAACCTTCTCATTTTCATCAGCCTTTACAAGGCATTGCTCCTGGATATGGATCACGAACGAAGTTAGCACAAGTTTATCCATACAGGTTCTGTAACACCTTGATCAGAAGTATTCTTCCTTTTGGAAATCCACGGGCTCTCTATCCAACGCAATTGTCACTTGCTGCAGACCTGCTGGAAGATCTGAACCTCGATGAACTGCGAGGAGTCCAAAATCAGCTTGCCGATATGACGGCTTCCGAGCATCCTGTGTTGGCAACTGACTTGTACGAACGGGGTCTTCCAGTACGCGACTACTATACGCGAGGCTTACTCAATCGCATTAATGCTCTACCATCTGGTAATGTTTTTCACCCTGTTCAGATCGAAGCACAGCAAGATGTTCCACATGCCAGGCAGATAATCTAAGTACGTCTATGTTTGACAACGCAGTAATTTGTAGTTTTCAGTCTTTGCGCATTATAACTACCGTCACACAAATGGCGTACTCTTACTTTGGCAAAAAAGGATATGCCACATGTTTTTCTACAACTACATCCTAGAGATATGTCGCAATTAATTGCAAGTCACTGGTCCGCCATTTTTTGGAACAATGATGATAACATTCCATCCGGCTACAACGACAACACTCCTGAACAGAACGCCAACGTCGACCCTCCACCGGGTCTCCCACAGCAGCCTGACAACAATCAAAACGATGATAACAATCCTGAACCTTTCAACACACTACCATCATCACCACAATCACCAGATGTTCCTATGCCAGATGATCCTCACACGCCGAATCACGGCTTACCACCTGATGATGATGATGATGATGATCCGTTTCATACACCATTTCAATTACCACCAAGACCGAATGATGACTCACCAGATGAGGAAATGCATTCACCACAAGACGAACCACCAGACTTACCACCGTATCCATCATCACCACCAGATCATCCACAACCACAGTTTCACGGAGCCCAAGCCATACCTGTCGCACCAGACACTGTTATTGTGCCCAAACATTGACGATACACCGATGACACATAGTACAAAAAGACCACCTGATGATCCACCGATACCACCTGCAACTAAGGCTCGACCATCTAGACAAATGCCTCCGTCGTCTTCATCCCAGCTTCATCCTAGCAACAATTTGGCTGGTGATACGCAGCCATCAGTCACACCAAGCGCGACCACACAACCCGCTGTAGTCGCTCCTAATGTTTCTAAAGTGAAGAAACCCAAGGATGTTGCTGTACCTGATGACTCTGATGATGACGAGCCTGATCCAGATGCAATTCCATCAGGACATAATGGTCCACCGCTACTTCCGCTAGACGGAGATGAACCTTTCAATCCTTCACCTATGCCTGAGAATGATCCGCAACCTGACACCCAAGATCAACACGAGCCAGAGGAAGAAGAAGAAGAAGAACCAGAAGAAGACACAGATGATACAATTCCTAGAGCCACAGGTACAGATGAGACTCTTGATTACAATGATCTTGTTATTGATGACTCTCAATGGTGTCTACTGTCTCAGGAACAAAAGTTTTGCAGTAACACGGAATCATTCTCTGTGCCCAGATTGATTGATGGTTCACCAGTAGCTTTGCATAATGTTGAATCCTCTAGTGCCATTGGTATGTCATATTCCGCTATCACGGAGAAACAACGTACCAGATGCCGTAAGACCAGGTCTGATATTATCGAAGAATATCACGGCATCAATGAAGAAGATAAAGCCTTTATGACTTTGTACTCTATGACTGACAAGTTTGCATATTCAGTTGGCAAGAAACGGAAGGAGGCGACACAACAAGAGAAGAGACAACTTGCCAAACAGTTTCTTGAAGCCAAGAAGGCTGAATGCCAATCATGGATTGATG